TAGGTCACCCTCTTGAAGCTGTGTCCTACTTTTCCATTTTTAGGTACATGAAACCCAGGATTGATGAACCTATAGGGACAGCAATAGAATAAGGGGTTCAGGGGGGAGTGTGGTACAGTAGTGGAGGTGGGGTAAAAGGGAGATGATGTCAAGGATCCATGTTGAAAAATTTCCCATGTTGGAAACTGATTGTAGTAACAATTGTACAAGTCTACTCAACATGACTGAAATATGGAATGATATGTTATATGTATTAAATCCCAATTTTAAAACAACAAAAACTGAAGAAAATTAAAGGCACATGTAAATAATTAGTCCAAAGAACTAACAGACCATGTGAACCTCAGCCTCCATAGCCCGGAGACCAGAAGAAACTAGGTGGTGTCTAGCTACCATGGCTGACTCCTTGGACACAATCAGAGAATCATCAATAGTGGGTTCTGGATGAAGAGCGAGAAGAAAGTATGATAAAACTCAAAATCATAAAAATAATCAGGCTTAGTGGTCTGACAAAGATTGGTGGAACCTTGAAACTGTGGCTCCAATTGCTTATTCCTCAGGCCTGGAACTGAATTCACCCCCATGGCTCAATTTTCAGTCAAACAATAGACAGGACAGTAGGATGAACACTGTCCTTGCATAGTCAATAAAAGAAAAAGCAAACATTTTTCGGGTATTCTCAGCTTTCAGTCAAGATTCATCTGACATCATCGATGATATCTCTTGTATTCTATGTCCACTTCTGCATCCAGCTTGAATTTCTGAGGTTCCTGTCAAGGTGCTACTGCAACAAAGGCACTCGATTGTGGATCATAACCCAACTATGCACAGCCATGAGAACTGGAATTCCAGACCACTTGACTGTGCTCAGGCAGAAACTGCACCTAGACCACCTTGAACAGAACAAGGGAATACTGCACGGTTTAAATCAGTAAAGATGTATGTCAGCGTCGTATCTTCTTACCATACTTAGTCAATCTATATGCTGAGCAATAATTCGAGAAACTGGACCATATGAAGAAGAAAGCACCATCAGGATTGGAGGAAGGCATATTGCTTACTGAAAGTAAGGAGGACTTGAAGCACTTGCTGATGAACATCAAGAATTTGCAGCTTACAGTATGTATTACAGCTCAATGTAAAGACCAAAATCCTCACAATTGAACCAATAGGTACCAAAGGCTGTCTTGGAAGAAGTATACTACTAGAATGCTCTTTAAAAAGTAGGGATGGCGAGACTTCATATATATTTTGGGCATGGTATAAGGAGAGATCAGTCCCTGGGCATTATGCTTACTAAAGTAGAAAGGCAGCAAAATAGAGCAACACCCTCAACAATATGGACTGACACAGTGCCTGCACCAATGGGAACACAAAGGGTGGCTATGAGTGGGAACCAACTTGAGGGCAGTAACACTCCCTAGAACAATCAACCAAAAGAGATAAAAAAGGTAGCACACACACAGGGTAAAGAAGTTCAGAAGGTAGGAATACATAGGAAAGGATTAATGGAAATAGTAAACAGTAAAAAAGTAGAAAACTGCTGTTACCTTTGGGGACTGCAATTAATGTCACAAAGCATGCATGAATGGAAAACCAATTTGTTCTGTAAACTTACACTCAAATCAAAACAAAAAGTTATAAAAAAAAAATCTCTGGCTGGAGATATATAGCAAAATATAAAATCAGAATTTACATAAGGAAAATAAGATGAACAGTATCATAAAAATTGAGAATCAGAAAAAATATGCACACATGTAAAGAAAGCTATTTGTATTTCCCTAAATGTATTTTGTATATTCTTACCTTTTTTTAAAATCATTTTATTGGGAGGGAGGGGGAAAATGAGCAAATGATATTAAGGGCTAAACTAGAGTCCAATTGTTTTGAGATTGATGAGGGCAACAGGTGTACATATGTGCTTGACTCAATGGATGTATGTATGGACTGTGATAAGTATTGTACGAGCCCTCAATAAAATAATTTAAAAAAAAGAATAATGAGGATAACAAATGTACAACTCATCACAATGAGCTCGTACAACTCATCACAATCCATACATACATCCATTGTATGTCACGCACATTTGTACATTTGTTGCCCTCAACATTCTCAAAGCATTTGCTTTCTACTTGAGCCCTTGGTATCAGCTCATTTTTTCCCCTCCTTCCTCGCTCCCCGCTCCCTAATGAACCCTTGATAATTTTTAAATTATTATTTTGTCATATCTTACACTGTCCGATGTCTCCCTTCACTCTATTCTTACCTTCTAAAGGAAATATACATTAGGGAGGTAATATGATTTGTTAAAAACAATTCTCTTTCAGAAAACAGAGAATTAACTAATAGCTAATATATGATGCACTTGTTACATGCTTGCACACAATGTCAAACATTTTATCTTGTTTAATCCTCCAATATTATGCTATGGTATTATCACCACCACTATGATTTTATAGTCAAGATTTTAAAAGTCCTATGTATTCTGCTCAACATTATATAGTCAGTAAATAAAAAACTGGAATCTCAGCCTAGTCAATTTATTTCAAAGTTCATGGTTTTTGGTTCTAATAACCTGGGAGGAATATACCAACATAGAAACAGGTATTTGTTTATGATTAAGAAGGGTAATTATACTTTTTTTTTAGTTTGGCTAGATAAAATAATGGAATGCTAATGGAATTAGTTGTGCTCTAGTCAAAATTTTCTGTGTAACTAAAACATAACTAGAAGCTTCGCTTAATTTTAATGTATGCTATAAATTAACTTTAAATGTAAGAATGCGCTTTTCATGAGTATTGAACACATTCCTACCCTTATTTGATTGATGATCTCTAAGTACTGAGCTAATCTCATATACAGCACTGAAGACACAAGAAATCTCTGAGAGTGGTTGAAACCATCCTGGTCCCTTAAACTCATCCTATAACACATTCATTTTCAGACTTTTGTGCTTTCCCTAAATCTTACTGAAGAACTACTTAAAACCCATTCTACCACCTACAGGAAATCACCCCCCAACCTTCCCTTTTCATTTATCCATTTAATAATTTTCCCCACCTCTACCTTGGATAAACATACTATATTGTTTGTTTAACATGATGTCTCTCTTACTATTCACTCAGAGGTTGTTGGTTTTTTTTTTACACTCAAGAGTTCGGAAGGCAAAAATCTTTGTCTGTTTTTCCTAACACCTCGTACAGAAGCAAGCACTCAAATAATACTGGTTGGTCTGAATTAATAAATGAATGAAAGGAAAAATAGTGTTAAATAAAATTAAACCCCACCTTGTTCTATAGTTACCTAAATGTTTTTCTTTCATGTCAAACGTGTGTGTAATTAACTGAGGATTCTACATCATTGTGATATAAAGTGACTGTCCTTTCTTCTTGGATCTGCACTACTTCATCTAAACTTTAACTTCCTAACCTGTCTTATATTTTAGTTAGATGACTATCTCTATTATTTGAAATACGTAGCCTCCAATCCTTGAAGACTTGTAGACTATAAAAACAATCTTCACCCAGTAATGTGAGTGATTCACTCCCGCCAGCTTTTCTAGTGTCAGTATTAAAACTATTTCTTATTTCAAAATCAATATTATAAATTCACTCCATTCAATTCTGTTAACAAATATTTAAACTCCAGGGTTTTCATTTTCAACAGTGCTAAATTTAAGCAACCCTGTTACCCTAAGGAATAGTTCCTCCACATTCCAAATGGTCAAAAGTCATGATACAACAACTGTATAACCTGGCACATTGTCTCCCCGTGTGGTCTTTATGTTGGATAAACAAAGCATTTTGCATGAGAAGAGGTGGTAACAAGTGTAAAAAACAGGATGAACAAAATGTAGATCAGAAGATTAAGTCGAAGATTAATGATTATTTACTGGGAAACTATAAGATATAATAAAAGATGAGTTAACCAAACTTTGACTGACGAAGTAACTCTTAACTGTGTGTCGCTGATGAAAGGAAAGAACATCTAAACTCGACTAGCGACCACTTAAGATCGCCACAATCTGATTCACCTCAGATTGTAGAGATTTTATTAGTCATTTGCTCGGAGACATGCAATTGACAGACTAAGTCGGTGGCCCGCTGACTTTCTTTTTCTACAATTTCTACTCATGGCCACCAAGCTCGATGGAATAAGCAACATAAGCAATGGTATAGATTTTCAAACATTCACAAATTTCAAAGGTCAAAACAATGTACATTACATTCGCTTTAAATAGCTGCTGCCTATAAAACAATTTCAATTCCTGTTCAATCGTCAACCAGTAAATATGATTTCTTTATTAATCCTGGAGGACCTTTTCATGATCATGTTAAAAAACCAAGAGGAACTACAAATTTAAAAGTGGTTTTAGCATCTTGACACTATCACTCTTAAAAAAAAACTATGATAAAAGACAATTTTATATAGCACTTGTGCATTTGATAAAAACAAATAAGCTTTTTGGCAAACAGAGGAACTAAGTGTTCGCTTTTACTTTTAATGAACAATTGATGTTGATTCCCACTCACTGCCATCCTTAGTTTGCAGAGTGAATCCTTCGTCAAAAACCAAAACCCAAACTCACTACCAGAGTCAATTCTGACTCTCAGTAACTCTACAGGGCAAGGTAGAACTAACTGCCTCTTTGGGTTTTGAGGCTTACAATCTTTGTAAGAGCAGAGAGCCTTGTCTTTTTCCCACAGAGCCACCGATAAGAGTCCAGCTGCTGACCTTGCTATTAGTAGCTGAAAGCAGAAAACAATGTATATTAGAAGTATCTGGTATAGATAGTTTAGTTCCAACCCTCATCAGATGCTTTAGTGAAACTGTTATATAAACTTAACTATAGAAAGTCAATTTCCTATTTAGGAATGAAAAGAATGTATACACTGAAAGAATTATGGATAAAATGACATAAGAACTATGGATAAAGTTATAAATATTATCTGAATGATTTCCTTCAATAGAAGAAAAGGGAGGAGACAGGGATTAGGAACATGGTCAAGAATCATAATGTGTTCATGAAGCTGGATGCTGAGTACATGAGGACTTATTGTACTATTTATTCTTTTGCTTTCTATGTGCTTGAAATTTTCCACATTCAAGAAATTAAATTTTTTTAAATGTGTACAATCATGTCAAGTTGCATATGAGTGCAAATGACTAATAATAACTATGGGAAAATATTAATGTTAACAATAAAATACAGATTTTCCAATATAAAAAGCCTTCAAAAAGTTCATGGGAAAATTCCATTATCTTCCTACCACAAAATTTTTGAAGCCCCATTGTATTTAAAAATGCTATTCAATTAAGGAAATACAACTCTGAAATAACAATAAGGTTATTAAATTTTTCATCATTTGAAGGTGTAATTTTATTCACTGGGTCAACATCAAATTTTGATCATTAAAAAAGTTTTCTAAACAAAACAAGTTTTCTAAAACGTGATAAAAGATTGATAATTATCATTAACTAAGATAACAAACCAAAAGCAAGAAAACCTAAACCCTTCATATGTATCTAATATAAGCAACAATAAAATCATCACAAGTAATTCTAAGGAAAGTAGTAAAAGAAGCTAGTAGTAAACAGCATTAAAAAAAATTTAAAAAACCAAAAAAAATTGCTTGTATTTCCCTCTCTGTGGCAATCAAGTTTAGCACACCTCATGCTGCTCTAAAGGCTAGAATCAAGTGGACCTCACAGCAAATTATATTATCATTACAAGACCCAAATCAACACATGGATAAAGTAACAATCTAAATTACTTAATTGATACTATCAACAAAGATGGTAAGTGTGCAGAAAGACCATTTTTGGGGGGAAATGATGACCAATTCTCAAGACAAAGAAGAAAAGTTAGACAAAAGCATCAAGTGACATTAATAAAACGGAATTGACGCAGTGCATAGGAAGTTATTAGAAAGTTATGCCCCATTTTTCAGAGCACAACTCTAGAAAAGGACATGAAAGAAAAAAATAAAATAGGACATGAAAGTTCATTTCCATTCTTTTTTTTTTTTTTAAGTTCATTTCCATTCTTCACCCTTAAAGATCCCAAACTATTTTTGTGGTTATTACAAGTACTTTTGGTTGTTGTTCTAAAGTAACTGATAACATTAAGACCATACCTGTACATATACACACAACTGCACACACAATATATTATTAAAAACAATTAATCTTTTACTCAGCTTCAAAATTAGAAAAAAAAATCAATCCTTCAAAATTTACATGACTTACACAGGGCCAATAAAGAGAAGAGATAGTCAGAAATCACAAGATCTCTCTATTATTGAATCCTATAATTTGTCCTATTAAGACACCTTTCTGAATCACTTGCTCTTTTAAAATTACAGTAATTACTGTTAATAGGTAGAACTGGATTTTAGCCCAGAAGGGTTTTCCTATATGTATATTTATGAAAAAATTACAAGACCTTCCAACAAACTCATTGTAGCAATATATCCCAAAACAAGATAACAATATAAATTCTTTAACTAATGATTTGCCTCCTTTTAAAATCAGATGTTTCCTTTGTTCAAAAATAGCAGCTCAAACCAAAACACTTTTAGCTACAAAGTTACATACAGGGTGAAAACTTGATAGCTTCCTAAGAATAAGTAACCTTTTTGCAACTAAGTTACTAAACTCTCAACTTCCGGGATTGTTTCCCTCCTTGGCCTTTCAAAAGCCCTATCGTACAATCATTTCAATTGGATTAGACTTTCTTCAAGGACAGAGGCCATGTATACTTCATTTGACATACACTATTGAGGATTAACTCAATAAATGTTTGGTATAACTAAGGTAAACCTCAAGAAATAAGATTCACACCATCTCAGTCCTGATACAAAACTGTAAAGAGATGAGCCTACTTTTCAAGAGTTTCAAATAAAAAGATAGCAAAAGAGCATAAAGCCAGACATATGTGATTTTTATATTCCCATATCACCTAAGCATCATGTACTCAAATTGCAGAAGTAAATTTACAAAGAATAAACAGTGTGCATCCTAAAATTCTCCTTACTTGAAATGCTCAAATACTGTCATAGAAACCTTCAAAGTTAAATATACACATACCAATATTCCAAGAAAAGTTGTTTATGTTCCTGAAATGATACACAGAATTTGTTTATTGTGCTCATTTTCTGTAGACATGGCCCATTTTATCTTTCATCAGATTCTCAGAACTCAACTCATTGCCATCAAGGCAATGCCAACTCATAGTGACCCTATAAAACCCTATAGTGACCCTATGGAACCACCCCAGTGAGTTTCCATGACTGTAACTCTTGACCATAATAGAAAGGCCCATCTTTCTCTCATAGACCAACTGGTGGTTTTGAATTGCTGACCTTCTGGTTAGCTGGTCAACTGATAAATACCAGGCAGATAACTAACTACTACACCAACAGGGGTTAAACGACCCAAAAAACTTTAAGAATCAAAAAACATACCCTAGGAGAGGGGAGCAGTGGGGGGGGGGGGGGGGGGGGGGGGGGGGGGGGCGCTGAGGAGCTGATGCCAAGGGCTTACGTGGAGAACAAATGTTGAGCGTGATGAGGGTAACGAATGTACAAATGTGCTTATTACAATTGATGTATGTATGGATTGTGATAAGAGTTGTATGAGCCCCCAATAAAATGATTTTTTTTAAAAAGCATCCCCTTTCTAATGGCATACAGGTAAAATTGCTCAACTCCAGCATTGCACTCATATACACACTAAAGTAGTGGTTCTCAACCTTCCTCATGCAGTGACCCTTTCACACAATTCCTCATGCTATGGTGACCCCAACCATAACATAATTTTCGTTGCTACTTCATCAATGTCATTTTGCTACTGTTATGAATCAGAGGACCCCTGTGAAAGGGTTATTCTACCCCCAAAGGGGTCGTGACCCACAGGTTGAGAACCACTGCAGTAAGAAGGCGCCTTACAACCAAAATTAAGCCTTCAAATAAGCTCTTTAGGCCAGCCAAAAAGTTCCAATATCCACAGGCACTTTTAACACAATTCCCAGTTCTCAAAAATACTTTGCTCATTCAAGTCAAAAGAAAATGGAAAAGGCAGCACACGGCACAAACTGTCCACTCTTCCATCCCACACTCTTGCAGCTTTCCATTTTAAATTGTCTAGAAGATCCACATTCTCTCCCCCTCATATACACCTAGGCTATTTCATCAGGGTCATCATACTGGTTAATGTCACACACACACACACACACACACAGAAGGGAATGATATTGCATAAACATTTATTGAATGAATGAAAGATCCTTCCTTCCATAGATTTAAAGTGAAGCTGCCACAGCTTCCATGTAGCTTATCTGGTACAAATTAAATTGTGAGAGATTTTCCTCTCTCAGATACACAAGCTGAATTGTCATACTGCTTTACTTCCTACAAAATCATAAGATAACATAGTCACAGGTAACCATTTCATACAGATCGAACTGGCAAGGACAACCTATACTCCATACATCTGCCTGACACAATCTCTTCCAATTACACTCCACACACCAGAGGGAACTTCAAAAAGTTTATAGAAAAATGGAACTGGAAGATAATGGAATCTTTCCAACATACTCAGATGCCTTACAAAGACTTCCTGAGACTTTGCAAGCTACGGTGCATGCAATATGGAATTAGTAGTCAAAAACCCTGAGTTCCAGTCCCAATGTTACCTCCAATTCCATGTGGGACTTTGGAAAAGCCGTCATCTCTTTCCACTGCATTTCTCATTTCGTTAATGGGGAAAACATCTATCTTACCACTTTCACAGATTTAAGATCACAAAGAAACCACAAAAACCAAAACCACGGCCCCAGGGTCGATTGGGATTCCATAGCAACACTATAGAAAGTTTCAGAGACTGTCAATCTTCCCAGGAGCACTCCACCTTATCTTTCTCCCCAGGTAGAGTGGGTAGGTTTGAACCTCCAACCTTGTGGTTAGCAGCCCAGTGCCTAAGCCACAGCGCCACCAGGGTTCCTTAAATAAAGTGAAACAGCACTCTAAAATTATAAAAGTTTTCTTCTATTATAAAGTGTTAATATAAACCTAGGTTTAATTAAGAAAGGCTGCTGTCCACTCTATATACCCTCAGAGCAATTATTTTACTGAGAGAGGTTCTGGACCTTCAGTTACACAACACACGCAGCTCAGGCACACAAACTATTCTTAAGACCACACTAGTCTCAAGATTTAAGCTGTCCCAAATCTCTCTCCTCCTTGACACCCACACACACAGAGCTATGTTGCCTGGCCGTTACTGCTCTTTCCCAAGCTCTAAAACACGTACACATACCAGCCTGCAGAAAGCATGCCAACATATACTTTGAAAATAAGCTAACTTGCAAGGGGAGAGCCATTACACGGGCACAAACACAAACCCTTCGGAAACAGGCTCCGTCCTTGCACATCCACACAAATACCGCTGCTACACACCAACAGAACACCTGTCTTCTGGACCCAAACATCTTACAAATTAGCCAGTGACAACCATTAAACTTACAACCATACCGTTGTCCTGTGGTTCCCCCATCCAGTTTAGCGGGTCAGGGACGCCGGGGACCCTTCTGTACAGGTAAACGTCCCTCTGAAGCTCATCTCCCCTGGGCTCTCTCACCCCTGAAACTGACACAAACTAGACTAGGGGGGGTGGGGGGGGAACGACGAGGATGCTCCAATCTGGCCCCCACAAAAACTAACCTGTCAGGGGCACAGGCGACTCCGCCTCCACTGGCTTCCTCTCCCGCCCCCTCCTCCAAGCCCGGAGCCGGCCGGTCAGGGACACCCCTGCACTCCCGCCAGGAGGGACTTCCCGGTAAGCGCAGGATCCCCTAGCCTGCTCTCCCCTCCCCCATCCTCCCCCACCTCCCTCCCGGAGGTCCAGGTCCGGGAGGTGTCAGCCGCCCTCCGAAAGCCGCGGCTGCGCTCGCGGCGGGAGTCCCAGGCCCCGAGGCCGCCCCAGGCCCGAGCACTCACCGTGTCAGAGGCCGCGGCCGCGGGAGACGCGAGTGCAGGGAGGTGGGGGAGAGGGGGCGGCCGCCACCGGGCTCCTCCGCGTCCCTGGGTCCTCGGCAGATCCCTGCCGCTTGTCAGGAGGCGGCCGGCCGGTGAGCGGACTGGCGGAAATGCGAGGAGAAGGGCGAAGGGAAAGGCGTAGGGCTGAGGGGCAGAAACTGAGGGGAGGCGGGTCCCACAACCAAACCGGGGATCTTCGTCTCCCCCTCCGCAAAGCG